TGGAGGTTGTGTACAATGTTGTGTGTTTGTGTTAGCTCAGATTTTATTCAGAAAGAAGGTCCTGCATGCTGATTGGTCAATTAGCAGTCCCACTTTATTTTAAGTGTCTAACTACTACGCACATTTAAATTAGTCATTTGATATGGTATACTTATTGTTTTTTTTTAGTATGTTATGACTAATATTACTTTATTTCTAAATTCGTAACATCATACCGTGATATTAATGCCATATTTCGCTCCTATGGATATTCCACTCTGAGCTCCTGATTAAAGTGACAGCAGAGTATCAATGACCTTTCCAGAAAAACACAAAGACAAGAACTTAATTTAAACCCCCTGATTCACGACAACGACGTTTTTAAATGGCAAATCCACTTCAAAATTGGAAAGCGGGTCATCTCTTCACTGCGGTAAACACATCAGTTCATTTTACATTTAACCTTTATTCAAGAAGGGTAGTCACGTGAGACTACTTTATCCTCTTTGGCAAGACAGCTCTGCACAAAGAAAGCTGCATTTGTCTCACAGTGATGCTAAACTTAACAGACAACGATGACAGCAACCAAATTAAACTGTCTTGGCGAGGTCTGACTGCTAAATTACCACCAGTGCTTTCATACAATGACATGTTTGGATCTGGGTATTGATAATTGAGTCACTCATGAAGCTCTCAGGAATGGAGATCATACACTGCTACTGTGCATTGTGTGAGATGTCCAACGATGAGCCAAAATGAACCTCAGCATATATCGTGAGTCGCTTCAACGCTTCATCGTTTTAGTTTTTAATATGTCAGTTCAATTTAGATTTGGCTTCACCACACATTTCATCTTAACACAGACTTCTTCAGGCATTTTAAAGGAGTAGTTCACTTTTGGAAACGTTTGCTGATAATTTACTCACCCCCATGTCATCCAAGATGTCCATGTCATTCTTTCTTGCAGTCGAAAAGAAATTAAAGTTTTTGATGAAAACATTCCAGCATTTTTGTCCATTTAATGCACTTCAAATGAACGAATCTTGAACGAAAATGAACAAATCTTGAATGAAATTAACAAATCTTTTTTCCGAGTCAATTTGTTCGTTTCGTTCGTTGAATGAACCAAACGACTCAGAAAAGGATTCGTTCATTTTGATGAACGAGTTTGAACAGGAGAGTCACGAACGCGCGTCACAGGATAGCAAGGCGGCCATTTGAGCTTATAAAACTTAAACTTTGTTATCTATTTATTAAATTAGCGATCATTTCGCTTGATAAGACACTTATTCATCGCCTGGAATCGTTTAAAGCCTTTTGAACAGTTTGCACTGAAAGTGTCTTTTGGACCTTGAACCGTTTGGACCCCATTGAAGTCCATTATATGGAGAAAATCCTGGAATGTTTTCATCAAAAACCTTAATTTCTTTTCGACTGAAGAAAGAAAGACGTGGACATCTTGGATGACATGGGGATGAGTAAATTATCAGAAAATTTTTTTTTAAAAGCGAACTACTCCTTTAAGTTGTGTGAGAAATTATGAGAGTAACAAAACTTGCATCACTTTACCGCGATATTTCATGTTTTTTTTTTTTTTTACTTTGGTTTTAGAGTGTATATTAGCCTATTCTATGAATGGTTGTACACAGACTGGTGTAGATTAGTATAAGCATTTGAGACCATCCATCAAAGCAGAAGCAGCATAGCAGATAATGTGTATTTAATTGCAGTGAATTATCCTCCATTACAGCAGGAATCAGAACTGGACCTTTTTGGCACTATGTTTTTTTAAGCATGCTTGTCAAAATGTTCTCTATCTTTCCACCATCTGTCACTTCGGCAGCTTCTGAGACTGATTTTCTTCTGGCAGTCCGGCAAGAGATGGGGTGAGTAATGCCATGCCACTGTCAGCACTGCCAAAAGCATCAAACAGATTTACAAACGCAACAAGGGAGGGATGTGTGTTAAGATTGCAGATTCAGTCATTAGCATTCATGAAGGCTTATTGCCGTTTTGATGGTGAGCCATTGAAACATTTTAGATAACACAGTCTCATCCCAAAAAGTCATATAACTGACGTTTTGGGACGTCTTTTGACCATACGTCAATATTCGCCTTTTTTCAGATGTGCTATGTTTTAGCTTCACACACATTTTTTTTATTATTATTATTATTAAACATTAACTTGTGAACAAATCGATTGAATAAATAATTTACTGACTCAGTATCTGCGTCAAAAATTGCATAGGTATAGGCTACTCTGGTGCTTTTGAACGCATAATTACTTTGCGACCGTTAAAAAAATAAGTTCTGTAATGTGTGTTGAATGACTGTAATCCGAGCGAACTACATTCGTCATATTGTCATTGTCATGTGACCGAACATAAATCCTCTCACATGACTTCACGGGATAGGAAAATGTCTTTTGGATGCGCGCTTCATAGCAGGCTTTAGGAGCCAGTTGCGTTTGTTCTTGAACGAACGAGTCAGTTGAGGGAATCAGTGTGTTTAAGTGAATCGGTTGAGTGAATCATTAAATGTTTTACTCTTAAAGGGATAGTTCACTTTGAAATTCATTTTTGGTATGTTTTAGCTTACCTGAAGGGCATCCAAGATGTCGGTGTCTTTGTTTCCACAGTAGTTTCAATTTTGATATTTTTAGGTCAAACCGTTCTTGTCTGTCAGTCACCACCTCAAAGAGCATGCACAGAGAAGTCCAAATTAAACATGATTTAATGACTCGTAAATGTAAGTACACATTGATGGTCTAAGACACGAAACGAGCGGTTTGTGTGAGAAAACGAACGTTTTTACCTCATCGTTTTTACAATTATATGTTCAGTCACATGCAGATGTAATATCTGAAACTGATTTACACAAACAGATGCAAGAGGCAAGAACTATAGTGTCAGTTGACAGACATGATTAATGAAGTTTATAACCCTTCATGACCCGAGTTTGTGCATCTCACATGAGATATGTGGAGAGATGAGAAGACTTAACCAAGACTGACAGCTCACAATGAGGAACGTCAGATGAGAGGTCACAATCTTGCATTAAGCAGTGAACCTTTTCTCCAAAGTGAACAGAATTCAGCTTATTGCATTATTATTCTGCATGAAGCTTTATGGCTTTCATCAAGCCAGACGCATGTCATAGAAACCCCATCATCAGAATTCCCAGTCTTGCCACTGACCTGATTACTAATGTAATTGCACAATCACTCAAAATAATAATAATTCTTTGGCTGATCCTGATTTGATGCCAAAGGTTCCACACACTGGAAATTGATTTTTTCAAAGGGATAATAATTTACTCGAAATGAAAATGTTCATGTCGTTTCAGTCCTGCGTGAGTTCCTTTGTTCTGTGAAACAAAAAGGTGATATTTTGGATAAATAATATTTTCCTATAAAACCGCATCTTTAGATTTACTCTCTCTGTGTTTCCTGGGAACTGACAGCAATGCTTCTCTAAACTCCCCGTAAAAAAACAAAATGAAAGTTTTTTGGCTTAGTAGCCTAGAGTCTTTTCTATAAGCTCCAAAACAATGATAATTCACATATAAGCATTCAAAACTTAGCCTCTCACTTCTGTCAATATGGATCAGTGATTTTGATGACATCCTCTGCACTTCAGCTTCTCATCAGATTTTCTGTCCAATCAAATGCTCTCTAGAATCTGAAGCTCCGCCCCAAACATTATAAACAGACGCTGAAATCGGTCACTTGTTCACACATTGTTTGCTATTACTTATTACAGTTTTTCTCAGTTGTTTGTTACATTTCTTGAATCATTCTCAACTTTTGCAAAGCAGTAAGTACATTTCTCAAAACAATTCGTATAATATCAAAACACCGCGGATTTCCTGCAAAAGCCGGTTTCTCAATAGTTCATCTCTCAAAAGTAAATATCTGTGTCAATGAACATGTCTGTGCCATTATAATGACATCTTGTCAATATAACAGTGTACGCTGGAGGGATGTTGTGATGTAAAGTTTTGATGACAATTATTGTAAATTGTAGGTACCTGTGTGTGTGGGAGTTTGATTGCGAAACAGAAAGGAAAAGACAGCTCTGCATAGCACAAAAAACAAGTAGAAATGTGAACAGGACAGATTTAGAAAAAAAAAGTCTAATGGAAATGTATAATATGCTTGACATAATATGACAAAAACTTGTTCAACCATTTTGCATGTAAAGACTTATGCCAAAATGTTGTGAGGGGAGAGACTTATAATACATTTTGATCAACATGACATAAGCAATTTATAGACCATTTCACAAGATGTAAACAACACTGGCCCAGAAGCACTTCCTGTTTCAGTTTTTTAACACTACATAAAAGCTGGGAAAAAATACAACCAACATTTAAAACTGAATCAAAAAGTTAAACAAACATCTTTAAGATGTTTTCTTTACATGTGAAATAAAGAAAACAGTTACAAACTGAAACAGGAAGTGCTTCTGGACCAGTGTTGTTTACATCTTGTGAAATGGTCTATAATGTAGGAGAGATTTGTATATAATAATTTGCATGGATGTACTGAAGCATTTGCAACTTGTTCAAAGAAATGAGAAACTGCTTTTTTGACGTGCAAAAGTGACAGGATGTAGCCTAGTTTTGAGAATTTCAATTCTGCTCTGAGAAATATATATAGCTAGCAAAGTGACTGCAATGCGTACTTATTAAGACCATTATAACATAGGGAACATTTCAAATTCATACAGTGTAAATATGCTTTCTATTGGGGTGTGGTTTCAGTGTCACCGAACCGCTGCCGTGCGCATCTTACAGTATGCATCTTGCATATCAATGCATGATTGAGAAATGTTGCAAATGAACAAATAACGTTTAATTTTCATTTAAAAAAACAACTGGATTTAGATGTTAAATAATAAAGCACGTTAAGACATAGAGCACATCTTTAGACCTGACAAAACATGTTGCACCTCCAATAACAAACTCTCAAATGAATGTATCATTTGAACAAAAGGGAATAATCACCCAAAAATGGAAGGTTTGCTTGAAACGGTTTTATTTACACTGCCATTGTACAAGTCTAAAGGTTCGAAGTACAGTAAATATTTTTCTGTCCTTTTTTTCCCCCAAGAGGAGAGAATAATAATAGTCCCGAAGTTCAGCTTTTGTAAACACGGATTAGAGATGTTTGAGATGGCGGGAACAAAATGTGTCAGTCAGGAGTTTGAAGTGAACACACATTCTCGTTTAAATAGCCTATTGTTGACATTTTAGAACAATGGACTCTTTTCAAATTTTAAAGATTCTCAGAAGTAGAAATCTTCATAGTTGGATAAACTTCTACAGTTGGGAACGGAAACAAATATCATTTTTGCATTGCTTCTGGACATTTGTTAATGCGTTTACGTCACTATCTGCTTTAATTCACCAATTAAATAATTTTAAAAAAGAAATAGATAGATAGATAGATAGATAGATAGATAGATAGATAGATAGATAGATAGATAGATATAAAAGACAAATAAGTGTGTCCAACTGTATATGCAATGCTATTTCAAATCATCAATGTCTGATAAATCCATGTTGCAGAGGCATTCGATGATGCATTTAAAAGTTCAAAAAGTTATTTTTCCATAATATGGTAACGGCGTCACATCCCGATCTCCATCTGCACCACAGCCACTCCAGGCGGAGCCTCCGCGACCTTCTTCCTCCTGGACACCAGTTTGGCCAGGTTCCGGATGGACGGAGTGGCTCGAAACAGCAGTTTCTTGAGGCCGGTGCGGTACTCCTGTCGGATCAGACAGTACAGCACCGGGTTCAGGCAGCTGTTGGTGTGCGCCAGGCACACGGTGATAGGGAACGCGTAAGCTTGCGCGTTGTAAAAAGCGTTACTGAACGGCACCAGATCGAATTTGATGAGCACTCCCCAAAGGGTCAGCGACTGGTTGGGAAGCCAGCACAGAAAGAACGATAGAACCACGATGGTGACGGATTTGGTGACTTTGGAGCGTCGCTTGTGCCGCCCTCTCTCGCTTTCCGAGCCGGGAATGCCGCTGACGCGCCGCCGCAGAACGAAGCGCAGCAGGAGGAGATAACAAACGCAGATGATGACCAGCGGAATCACGAAACCCAAAAGGACCTTCTGTGTCTGATAGAGACCGAGCAGCAGCTGCGGGTCCCAGCTCCCGGAGTCCGAGAAGCGGACGAGGCACAGCTCGTCGTCGGACACCTGCGCCGTGGTCGAGTACACCGCGTGAGGGATGGTGGCCACCACGGACACGAGCCAGATCCCCAAGCTGGCCCACTTGACCTCGGCCCAGGCCGTTTTGGGACTCTGCATCCGTAGGGAAGAGGACAGAGAGCAGTAGCGCGCCACGCTCATGGCCGTCAAGAAGAACACGCTCGCGTACATGTTCATGGTGGTCACCGAGCTGATGATCTTGCACATCACCTTTCCAAACGGCCACCTGAAGTCCAAAAGTGTGTCCACGGCCCAGAACGGAAGGGTCAGGACGAACTGCAGGTCTGTCACGGCCAAACTCATGACGAAGCAGTTGATGGATGACTGCTTGAGTCTGTGGCGCGACTGGAGCAGGTAAAGCGCCAACAGGTTCCCGACGAGCCCGAGTGCGCACACGATCAGGTAGACGAGCGCGATCACGACGCGCATGGCCACGCTCGAGCTGTCGCCGTAGAGCTCCGGCGCGGACTCTTTGGAGAGGAGCTGGAGCCAGCAGCGGAGCGACAGGTTCTGGAGAGTCCGGTTCGACAGCGCATAGCCCTCGTCCAGCGCCGGACCGCACGACGCTAAACCCGGTGCCAACGCGCTGCTGTTCCCCTGCATGGCACGGCTTTACGCACCCATTCGATTTCTATAACATTCTATATGCTGCACAAATGTTTCGCTAAAAACAATCCTAAAGGTACAGCATGCGATCCCGGATATTCCCGGATAATATTCCCGGATTCAGAGAATCTGTGCTGCTCGTCTGACTCTCCGCACCTGAGTGAGCTCGTGGAGCATCTCTGAGCTTTTATAGGGGATCGCCACTGTCACATGGAGAAGTCGCCACTTATAGCGTTGAAAAGGAGAACAGGAATATATCACTGACGGTCATTGTGATATACAGTAGTCATTGAGTTTAAAAACATGATTCTTTGTTTTACATTGATTATAAATGTATCATTTAGATTCTCTGACGCCATTTATTATTGCATTAATGCAGCTGATGGGGAAATGCTCTTAATTTTCATTAAAATATCACAAATTGATTTTAATGATTAATTAAATAGTTGATAGTTTGTTTGTTGGGGTTAAAAATGACCCAGACGTTTTGCAATATTCGTACATTTCTGTATGTTACAATACATTTTAAACAGATATGTTATTAGGCCTACGATTCATCTTTAAAGAAATACTTCTGAAATTCTTTTTAAGGCATATTTCTCAAAAAAAAAAAAAAGGTTCCCATTGTGTTGCATAAATATCTTTTTTATTATTCTGGTCAATAATGTCCAATGGCTTGTTTTAGCAAAGACAAAGGTACTAATCAAACGTTCTTTAATAATCTTATACCCTGAGAAAAATGCACTTATAAAAAGTGGGACAGACACACACTCACGTAAAAAATGAAAATCGTGGGCTTGACGAATCTTTGGTTGAAACACCAAAGCCTTTTCTGACTGAAGCAAAGTAAGAAAAGACAGTACTGAAACACATGCAGTTGTTCACTCTTCTGGGAGATTAATCTGTCCTCAAACCATTTGTCCTGAAAATCATCTCTTTGTGTCACTTTTAATAACATAATAATGCACATTCCTACACTTTTAAAGGTCAAACAAGGTGACTTTTCTGAATGGATGTGTTCCTTTTTCCTTGTATTTACATCCAGCATATTCATGATTACAGTAATTGTAATCCTTGAGCATCCTATATATATAGGCCTATATATATATATATATATATATATTGTTAATGTTTTTAACATATTCATATGATCATGATTTTTCACCACTCAAACAATGTCACTTGGAGAAATTGATGACAGGAAAAATATATTGATTACCAAACTATAGCCTATAAAACAACAAGATTATTAGAGAATGGATAAAAGGAAATGCTGAAATTTTTATTTTTCATGTTAGTAGCGAAGCAGAAATCCTATCTTTAAATAATATAAACTTTCCTTTCTTGATGATCCTGTTTCTGTAAAAAAATGGGTCAGGTTTCAGACTTCATCCCATCAGAAGTGTTACTGGAAATGCAAAGGGAATGCAGAGAGAGAGAGATCATAGCAGCAGTGATCCTCCACACACACACTCATCGTCCTTGGCTCTTTGACAAGATCTGTAATCCAGAACAAACTACTCGGCCCTGGGCTCTGTGAGACAGTGATTGATCATGTTCGGGGAGGAGGGTCAATCGACTTTCCTCAAAGCAACTGAGTTGAGAAACTTGAGTTCATCCCATGATAACCAGTCAAGAAATAATGAGGATGTGCGCATGCGGTCATATATTAGCCTAATAATCAATCCTAAATCCAAACAAGGATCCCCAAAGAATAAAAAAAGAACTGGATAATTATTCAGTTTCACAATCATCAATTATAATTTTAAATCCCAAAATATGATCATGTTTTTTTTTATTATGATTTTTTTTTTTTTCCAAAGCTGCAATACAGCTTTTGGCCCTCTGGGGGTTGAAGCAATGGGCTCTATGCACGGCGTTATTTCCGGTGAAGGATTAAGGATGCTCGATAACTTCCGCCGATCATAGAGTCCAATGCAATACCGAGAATTTATATTGAATTTTATACTCCATGGTTATACTAATGAAACGTTAGTCACAAAAACAGATAAAACAGACACCCCTCGTTGTGTTTATGCTTCTTTTTAAAATTATATTAAATAAACATAACTATATATAAAATTACATCTAAACGTATGTACGTTTCGTTTCAAAGACGGGAGGACAGTAAATATTGAAGACTCTGCCATAATCCCGTTTTCTCCGGTTTTCCTCCGCTTTAATCTACACAACCGGAAATGGACGAGCATCCTTACGTCAAATGCGGAACTTATGCGTGCATATAGCCCATTAACGTTCCACGCGGACTGCGGAGGAACGGCTGTGTGCGGATGAATCTGATGATGGCGTGAGCTAAGGCCCACCTCCGCTGTGCACTATGGCTGTGCTCATGTTGACAGAAGATACGAAGGTTTCACTGTGTGTGACGAGATCATAACTATCCCAAAACCGATTTCTGAAAATATTTCATATGAGCAGGTAAGCAGCTTATATGCCGTTGTTGTTTTGTCTTGTTGAAATTATCTATTTTAAGTGAACGTTACAAAAAGTTTGCCAACTATTCGGTGTAAACTGGCCTAACTTGACAATTTATAGTCAAATAGACTGAGAGATTGGCAATGCTACCAACAAACATTGTTTTGAGAACAATGCACTGCGAATATGATGCCATCTAACTATGTTGATTCATGATTTATTGCGAAAGTCAGTTTCACGTTTTGGTATGCATGTAGCCTATTCATCTTTCCTTTAGCTATTTACGGATATGCTGTAAACACGCACATACAAATGATCAAAGTGTGGAAATTATTATAAGCTTACTATTTTTTATTATGATTTTTATTATTGAAAACGATATCTGACTATACTATAAAATGGCTTAAACCTGTCAAAATAAAGAGAAAAAAACTGGCACGGAAGGCTAACACACAAAAATAAAAATAATAATATAAAAAATGTTGATAAAATATAGGCTTACCATACGCAGTGATTTTTGCTATTGCAAAAACACAGTTTGAAAGATGTTTTATGATGTAGACTGAGCTACTAGTTATTGTCATTTTTAAATTAAATGCATTGTGACTGAGAGTTTTAGTTAAGAGACTGGTGGTTCTTGCTGAGATATGAAAGGAGATTAATTCTGCAAATGAATAACATGCATCCACTGAAGTAAAGATTAAACAACTTCTAAAGATGAATATCTTTGTAGCCTCAAGCTCATTGTTAAAGCACAAGTAAATTGACCCCGCGAATGCAAAATGAACAAATTAATTATACCACTGTCAGTCAGAGCATTTTCAAATCTCAAAGAATGACACATAGCAACACCTGAGGTCATTTATTTGCAACTGGACGCCATTAGGTCTGAATATTTTCTAAAAATACAAAACAGAAGGAAATAAATACATTCAATTTAATGTGGATTACACATTATTGTAAAACCTTGAAAACTTCCAAATTCATCTTGGAAAATATAATGTCACATACTCATATACTGTGGTTACCAATCAATATTTTAAAGACTGTTCTCACTGCTGTATAAAATGTAAAAAACAAAATTAGACCAATATTTTAAAGAACAAAAACCCAGACGAGGGAGAGGAGAACTGCTCATTCTGCTCAAGGTTGCACGGTATATTCGGTTTTGCTCCACACAAGCAGCTTTTATGCAAAACGACTGACCTCGTGCGAAACGAGGAATTATTATTTCTCACATTTCCCTCACCTCAAAAGAACCTGAAACACTGCATGACAGGCGAAAGCTGCTTTTACCGCGCATGGCCTTGACCACTCCTGAAGCGCGAGCGTTTCGGCCTCGTGATGTGTAATACTCCACGGGTCCAATTATACACATACTCTTATTGTCAGGCAACAGCTGCCTGGAGAGACACACAGAGGTGGACACCTGCCTGAACAAACCACCATATCCACTGCTTTATTATTCTGCAATAATTTTAGCTTTCACAGCTGCTGCCTGTTGCTGGAATACTAAATGGATTGTGCATCTAGTTATATAGCAACAAAAAAGGAAATGCGTCGTTTAGCATTCAGGAACCGCGTTTAACTGTGAGTCCGAGCACTCGGAGGAGTTCGTTTGGTGCTCCGATTCGAATGGATCAGGCCACATTTACATTACATGCTTCAAGGGACTCAATTGTGATGTTGTTTATATATGTGTGTGTGTGTGTACATTTGCTTTCGCCAAGTGAGCAAACATATTGGATATCCCCTGTCAATGCAAGTCGTACGTCATTGAAAAGTGACGTCAACTCAGGTAACCGCGATCACCGCGAGATTCAATGGCGCAATAGGGTGCCGAAGTTACGACGTCACTCTGTAGGCTAAAACGCGGAAGTGAGTTAGCATTTTAGCACTACTGGTTCCCTCTATGGGACTTTTGAATGGGTTTTTGTTAAATCGCCTGAAATAAGGTTGCTTGTGTCTGCTTGTGTTTTTTAAATTTTTTATATAGGCTTCAAAATGTATAAATTTTGGATTAACTTGTAAAGATTATCTTGATAGACAAAACGTGTGGGTCACGACTCTTTGTTAAACTCAGATCTTATTTTTTGCGATTTTCCAAAAGTCTATGGGTAAGATCAAGGGATTTTCGATCGAGGGAACCCATGTGCTGTTGTCCTACAGAGTGACATCATAACTTCGGCATTCTATTGTGAACGAATGCTCAATCCAATTTTTTTGCTGACCTGGTGAGCTAAAGCTTATATTATTATTTCATCTACGTCCATTGTAAATCGCAACGTTTTTACTTCCTTTTCGGCCTTAGGTTTACCTGGTCAGTCTTTCCTTGGGTTGTTTCGGCAAGTGTATAGGGTAAATGCAGATATCGGGTATGGGTCACTTTTAAAGGGATACTTCAAGATTCTTGGTGCGTTCTATTATACCCAACGAACCGACTCGGACCTTGGATTTGACGTCACGTCCACACTTCAAGCGTTCTATTATGTTTTGCGTGTCCGAGTCGGAGAAAAAAATGGACGCCACCCGGAAAGCTGTTATAATGGTAGCACTAGCCGAGTAACAGGCACTAACATTAAAAAAAATATATTATGACTACATCTTATCAAAACGCAGCCATTTGAACTTGAAAATGTTCACTTTATTGAATGTTTTTCATGTTAATCTTATGTTAGCAACGCTAGCAACGTTAGTAATTGCACTCACAACAACCGATTCCCATACCCACAGGGGAGGGGACGCAGTAATACGAGTGATTATAATCGTCATTTAAAATACCAAAGCGGTTCAAAAACAATGAAAACAATTCATTTTTACAAGTCACAGGGCGCGGCCATCTTGAATTCCGAAACGGAATTCTTGCTCGGTGTCCTTGCGGTTGTCCGACGCCCGAGAGGAGAAATCCGAGGAAAGGGGGCGTGTTGCTAGGCAACGTCTCTCGTCCGATTCGGATCTCCGAGACGGATGAATAATAGAGCGCACCATTAGCATTAAGCTTTGTATTAATAGAAAACCTGTAGTATTTTTCGAATTACCGTGCTTTCCACCCTCATATCCCCCTGAGACGAGAGATTCATGTATTTTTTGTCTGGAAAAAAATCCTCAGATGACGCAAAAATCGCCATTTTGCGTCATCTCAGGATTTTTTGGCCAGGGGCTAAAGACTACAATCAGTAGTAGGGGCTTTCCCGTATGTTCTCAACAAATAATAGTGTCGGCCATATTTTTTTGGAAGCTAAGCTAGCAGGCTCTTGTTCTGTGGAGAAAGCTGAGTAGTCGGGGTTACCATCCTCTTTTCCGGCCGTCGATGTCCGGGATTCAGCTTTTGCTTTCTGCAGTCGCCATTCATTGTTTACATGCACAGCTTTTGTTTCAATCTAACCGAATTCATTCCGATTGGTGGATCTGAATGTAGTGTTTACGTGAACGCTAAACAAGTGATCGGTTGATGTACGTTTTAACATCGCTAAGAAAATTCCCGCTCCTCCGTGAGAGATACGAGACCGGTGCGTCTCACAGGTGTCGCTCATCGGTAATAACGGCTCGCGCCGTTCTCCCGCGGCCCTCAATCGTCCCGCTCGCCACAGTAAACGTGATGAATGGCGACTGTAGAACGCAAAAGCCGAATCCCCGACATTTTGGCCGATCTCGAAACACATTTTCGGGCAGACTCATCACTAGTAGTCTAGACTTGTTGTTTAACTACTGCGCTCTGTTACCGGTAGGCGTGGCCTCCTAGGGCAGCGAAGCTAGTGCATTCTGGGAGTTGTTGTCTTTCATCCACAGAAGCCAAAAATACATTTTCTAGCTTTTCCCAGTCTAGAAAGCTCCAAATTCAAAATGACCATTTTAAATACACATTCATCTTTTCAGAAGTGAAGTATCCCTTTTAAAGATGTAAGCAGGCATACAAAAAAATGGATATAGTCAACAAATTGGAATTTAAATGCAGCCTTGAACAACAACAAAAATGACCCCTCAAAAAAGGATTAAGTATAAAAAAGTAAATGAAGTAAAAAAATCACATTAACGAACCATCTGGAATTAACACCCGGTCGTGTGTTGGTACATTGTGCTTGTTTCTGCACGAATGAGAGCTGTCTGCGCATTAATCTGAGTGAAGGTGATCTTCTTGGCACGGCGATCCACACAACGCTTGGCAGGAGGTTTCGCTTTTGATACGATGTGCCGTTCTAAGCCATTTCAGAATGATTAATCTCTTCCCCAATGGCAACATTTAAAACCCAGGCCAGACTTTCCTGGAAATCTGTGGATGCTGGCTCACTGTTGCATGCAGCAAACAATTTCACAATCTAATCAAATCTGATTGACTGGTTTTATGCAATTGAAGGTAGCAGTAGAACTGAGAACAGTTTACAAATGTTGATGCAATGAATGCTTGAATTTGTCACTTAATTAGATTTTTAAAGGAGTTGTTCACTTTAAAAAAAAAAAAAATGAAATCGTTTCGCTTGATAAGACCCTTATTCATCGTCTGGAATCGTTTAAAGCCCTTTGAACAGTTTGGTTCCCATTGAAGTCCATTATATGGAGAAAATCCTGGTTTTCATCAAAAACCTTAATTTCTTTTCGACTGAAGAAAGAACGACATGGGCATCTTGGATGACATGGGGGTGAGTAAATGAACTACTCCTTTAAGGTAGGCAGCTTAAGCGTCTATGAAATATGTACAGTTTTTTATACACATTCCAGTATGTTATTGGCGTAAAATCTATTCACATAATCCTGCAACCTTTTTCTGTACAACTTTTTTGCATTGACTGCTGCATCATTATTTGAATTTGTTATTGTGGTCAAATCTATTCAGATAAACCCACAACTAAATGCCACACAGAAGCATGTCGGTCACTTCATACATGTGGCCGAAATGAGCTGCGTTTCCTTAGTCAAAAGTCTGGTGTAATGCACGCCAGTGGGTTACATCACTTCCTGTCTTTCTCCTGATGTGTTAGCCAGCTCAGTGAGGCAGTGTGGCCGGTGATGGGGTCGCTGTGGTGGTGCTCACGGTCTCTGTAGCTGTGGTTGTGATGGAGAGGGTTCATGTCGGCGTACTCGGGCCTGAGTTGAGGCTTGCTGTGAGGGGACGAGGGCACTTCCACATCCCTGTTGACTGAGTAGCCCGGCTGAATGCTGTACACCTCCATCACAGAGCGCAGTGACCTGGCATGAACTGCGGGAGAGAGGGAAAGAGGAAAACAGAACATCATTTCTGTTTTCACTGCTTCAGTGATTCAGGGGAGTTTTCAGAGCCAGTGGATTTTTTCATTTGGTAACACTTTATTTTGATAGTCCACTTAGACATTCTACTAACTATAAGTAACTTTTAAACTACATGTCAACTAACTGTCATTAGACAGTCCCTCCAGGATTTCACGATTTTTTTGTGTGATTTTTGCGATCAAAATGACTGATTTTGTGGTGGTAATTTCCAAAAATTTGTGAAAAAATTTGCGATTTATATATAACATTTACCATAATAGTATTCAGTCTTTCCAGAAAAACACAGAGTTTTTTGTGATGTTGCGGGCAAAATTTATTGATTACGCGGTAAACTACTGGCAGCTGTGGTTGCCAGCATCATACCGTATATTTATGCAATTTTATGCGATGAAATTGCAGGAATTTGAAAAAATTGAGGGAACTTGCAAAATTGCGGGTGATGTAAAGAGAAAAAAAGTGATTCCCCAACACCTGTTCTCACTAGGCTAATGTAAGAGTCATTTCTTAT